TTTGCCCAGGTCCCTCCACGCTCGGATGTTTGCGCTGTTCTTCCGCATGTTGTGGGGGAACAGGCTGAACCTCATCAAAAGAGAGGTCACTTACCTGGCCAGAAAGGACGGGGGTCTGGCCATGGTCAACCCCATCGTCTTCTTTACTAACACCTTCCTGAAAAGGAATTTCGGGGCTCTCCTGAAGGACGAGCAGCCTGGCTGGGTATGTATATTCAGGGAGTGGGTCACACCTTTCCTGGTGGACTGGTTTCAGGGTGGGAGGGTGAAGAGCATGAGAGTTCGGCATTCTAGCTATCTTCCGTCTTCGGTCATCGAGGGAGTGGGAATTCTGCGCAGGTGGAACGTCACGGTGGAGGAGGTTCGGGACACTCCCAAGAAGCTTCTCGACGGGAGGGTCCTGGCCACCCACTTTGGCATTCAGCTTGCTTTGAAGGACTGCCCGCCAAGTACTCTCGCCTCGGGGTTGAAAAACATCAACTCCAGGCGCCTTCCGGAGAAATACCGAGACGTGGCGTTTCTCTCCTTCCACGGTAGACTTTACGTTCGAGGGAACTTGAAGTACAGGAACATAACGGATCGCGGTTGTCCTCGGGTGGAATGTTCCGGGGAAGTGGAGTCCATGGACCACTTCCTCCTCGAGTGCCCCTTTAACGTACAGGTCTACAAAGAGGTCTCAGCCGCCTTAGGCATCCCCTGCTTATCCCGCTGGACTTATGCGGAGTGGGCGTATGGGACGTCCAACTCAAGGGGGAGGGCTTTTGATTTGGGCACTCTTTATGTAGTCAGTTCAGTGGTTAAGTATTTCACTTGGATGGCAAGGTGTCGGGTTTCCCTTCAACGTAAAGACCTTTCCTGTCAGGTGGTGGTAGCAGACATTCTGAGGGCGGTTCGTGGGATCTATACCACCGAAAGGGCCTCTATGGATCCCACCATTTGGCAGCGTTTGTGGCGAAATCTCAAGGTCCACCCGCCTTGAACCGCTCCATAGGCGCCCTTGTCTTGGTGAAGGGAATTCCAAATCTGTCTTCACCTTTCCCCCGTAGATTTTGAACTGGTTTTTCTTTTCATGGAAGGCTGCCACCTTTAGCAGACGAGTACCTTCCTCTGCGTCTAGGTAGTGCAGTGTAGTTAGGTTATGGTTATGGTTATGCACAGGTTATTTTTGGTATTGTTTGGGTTAGGGTGGGTTTCTGGTGTATGGACAAATTGAAAAATTTACTTTGGGTGGAAAAAAAAAACAAAAAAAAAAAACACTGGGTTTCTTTATGGACGGAGGGATGGACTCCTTGAGGGTGGTGTACAAACTGGATTTCATGTGGGTGGTGGGTCTATGGAGAAAAATTTGATTTCATGTGGGTGGTGGTGGTGTACAAACTGGATTTCATGTGGGTGGTGGGTCTATGGACAAAATTTTGATTTCATGTGGGTGGTGGGTTTGGATGTGATGAACTGAGAAAAGGACTCCATTTGGGTGGTGGGTTTGGGGGATGGACGGAGGGATAGACTCCATGAGGGTGGTGGGTTTTATGAATCGAAAATGGACTCCATTTGGGTGGTGGGTTTGGGTTTAAAGTTTGGGTTTAAAGTGTAGGTGGTGGGTTGGTGTTGATGGACGGAGGGATGGACCTAAAGTGGCTGGTGGCTTCTTAAGTGAACCGGTAGTGCCAACTCCAGGGTTGGGGCCAGCTTAAGGGTGCTTATGTATTTTTATTCCCACCCGGCTTTATGTTTGTGTTTGGCTGGCTGTGGACTTGAGGTCAATTGGGTCCCCCCTTGCCCCCCCCTTGTTATGTAAGAGCTCATTCAGGAGCATTTCAGCCTTTTTTCTCCCTCCCCAAGGCTCCATGAAGTAATGGAGCCCACCGCCTTTTAATTTATACTTATGATTTAGTTCCCCCCCCTTTTCTGTTAATACCTATCCCTGTTATTCCCAGTTATTTAATTTGGTATAAGTTTACTCCCCTATTAGTGCCCCTTCCTGAGTTTTTATTTCGGTATTTATGTTTCATTTTGGGGTATTTATGTTTGAATTGGGTATTATTTCAGTTGATTGTTTATTATTGTTATTTTGTTATTTATTTTGTTATTCTGTTTAATTTTTGAAGCATTTTACAAACTAAATAAAATAAAATACTGTCTCCCCTTTGTACATTAAGCTGCCGCTGGGGAGAGGGGGTAACAAGCTCCTCTCCCATACATACTTCCAGCTGTGGGGGAGGGAGACCGACTGTCTCTGCTCCCAATACAGAGTCCTGCTGCTGGGGAAAGGAG